GGAGATGTTCAGGTGGTGCTAGGCCATGTCGGGGTCTATTCCTAGCATGTCTCTCGATGACCATACGGAAACATCGATGTTTTCCTTGGGAAAGTTTACGAGCTACACTCACTTCTATTGAGGGAGTGTCGCCTTAACCTTGACGACCAGATCAAGACAGACCTTGTCTAAAGGTTCCTCAACTAGTAACTCCATTAGCTTCGAATATGGAAGGGGCTTAATGAAATCTCAATGGTCCAACAATGATACCTTAGGCCGAGCCTTTTTCAATAAGGAGACTACCGTTAGATAGCACTAGTGAGACTCCTTCGGATCACTCTTCAGCTCCCTAATGACCGTTAGATAGCATTTGTTGGGAACTTCATCACCATGTGATAGGTCGACACTACAGCCCTCAACTTATTAAATGTGAGTCAACCTATGATCACATTGCACTTCGAGGAGATGCCAACCACCATAAACTTAGTCATTATTGTTTTGGAGTAGAGTTCATCACCGAACGTAATGTGCAAGCTCATAATCTTGAGAGGGGAGATGGAGTCACGCATGAACCCCATCAACGAAGAAGTCATAGGAGTGAGATCATTAGCTGATAGCACAAGTTTTTAAAAAGCATCAAAGTAGAGGATATCGGTAGAGCTATCTATATCGATCATGTCCCTCTTTACTTGGGCATTAATTATTCTTATGGAGACCACCAGGGTGTCATCATGGTTTGAGTCGAGATACTCCATCTCCTCATCCTTGAAGGTTATTTCTGAGTTATCTTCGGACCTCAAGCACTTCTTGATGGTGGCTCAGTCATAAGCTTTGTGACTCAAAGTATTGTCCCCTCTTGAGGTAGGTCCCCTAAGGATAACATCGATCCACCTCTTTACCGAGCCTTGAGGTGGGGGCGAAAGTTCCCAAGGTCTTTAGACGAATCTCTCGAGGTGCCCTCGATGAATGAGCTCCTTGATTTGTTATTTTAAATCACGACGGTCATTCGTGTCATAGCTCTAGTCATGGTGGAAGTGACAATATTTAGATTTGTCCCTCCTTTCTAACGGTGTCTTCATTAGTTGAAGGTCCTTCAAGAATCTTTTTTTTTTATCTGTAAGAAGACCTGGATTCTCATCATATTAAGGGGGGTTAACTTGGGTCGATCTTGTTTTCTTCATTGAGGTGACCTCGAGGTTGGAACCAATGGTGGTTGCTCCTATTATAGCCTCTTATGCGTCTCCTCATTCTTATTACTATCACCTTAATGGCTATTTATTGGTTGGCCCTCTAGAGGACCTTAAGTACATTTGTCGATGACCTCCCTACTAAAGTTTAGAAAAGGCGAGAGGGCCTGAGCCTTATCATGAAAACTTGAATCATGAGTGATGGATGAACTCCTTGCACACCTCGGATTTCGTTGGTGAACTAAGTGATAAAGTTGGAGAATGTCTCTTCTTTCCTTTGCTTGAGTCCAAGTAACATTATCGCTAATGGCCTCAGACATATATTTTTGAGGAAGTAGAGTTCGAACTCCTTTGCAAGTAGAGCGAAGGAGCCGACCAAGAGTGGCTTTAAATAAGTGTACCACTCCCATGCTGGGCCTCTCGGTATCACTGGGAACATGCGACACATCAAAGCATCCGAGGTGTCGTATTGATACATTTAAGTGTGCAAAAGTTGGTCGAAATTGATTCCTCTTGGATGTTCTGGATGAATGGGGGTCGACCCGAGGTGGGATCGACCAGATTCTCCCCCTAGACCGTTGAAACTCCCACCACATCTCGTCTAGGTGTTGGTCCATTTGCCTAAATTGGATCCTCAAGTAGTCATCCATTGATTCCATCGATTATGTTTTATATTCAAGCAAAGCAGAGCGGTGGTGTGTTGAACTCCATCTTGGGGAGCAGGGCACTCCTTCGGTTGGCAATTTCATGAACCTTGGGTGATCCTGAGATGTTGGCATTGCATCAGTTAGGGGGATTCTGACGAGTGCCAATGCCAGTGCTAGTGGTACTTGAAGTGTCAACCATGGTTGAGATGGTAGCATTGCTTATCGGGCTAGCTGAGGTAGGAGAGGGACGATAGCCTACAATGACCTACAATATGCCCACGAGCGTTTGTACCTAATGGGTGAGATTTAGAAACACCTTGGTCGAGACGAGCAAGTGGCTCGAGTTCGTCTCAGGAACTTTGGTTATTGAACATATGATAGTACCTCGCCGGCATCTAGACCAAAATGAACATATTCACATGTGGAAAGGGTTACAATTGCCCCCTGAGTAAAAGTGTTATAGGCTAGAGGTAAGGCTTCCTCATTAGAGCATTTGGCATGTGGATGTTCCTGCAACATCATGCCCTCTAGTGTTATGGTGTTAGGAAAAAATATCATTGATGTCTTTGTCAACCCGACATGGTCTAGACTCGTATGCATAGGATTGTTTGAAGTATCTCCTAGGTGAAAACATCGTGCTCTCGATGTGTCACCTGCATGAAGACTGAGATCGAGGTTTCCCGATTTGATCTTTCCGATGCTTAAGTTATTAATCCGAGATATATGAGTATGAATGTGAATAGTCATCTCTCCTTACTCTATGTTAAAGACGAGCTTTTATATGTGACAGTAATGTATCGGATAATTAGCTATCAATATATCTCCTATCTAAACTAACGCTGCAAGCTAAAGTCGCCATAGATGAGTCTACTGATTTTACCAAGCCGACTCGCGAATCGTCCCAAGTCCCGTGTCACTCGCAAACCAACTATGCGGCCTATATCGTGAGTTTGACACCATCTAACGACCATAATACTAACCGTGGCTATAAATTTTTCCATCTGAATCAGCAGTTATCCGTATTTAATCCCATTTAAGAATGAGGTTCTCAAAGGTATGGTTTATCGAACACACCGAATCGATAACAAATTTACAGGAGGAAGAGGAAGCAGCTCGCAGGTGTAGCTTTCGTCGTATGCAGAGATCCATTGCGGCATTGCAGTTGCCTCCTCTGAACCTGTCCAATGCTAAGGCGAAATGGCACCATCAGCAAACATTCAAACAAATGAATCTTCCAAGCTTCATGTTACCTCAGTACCACCTTAGAAGACATGTTTTAAGTCACAATTGAAGGTCGCAAAGAGATATATCCGTAAGTGGTTGAACTATTTCATCTTTCTAAAGTAATCAAGATGTTGTACAACCAAAATCTCATCGTGTGACAAAATGATATCCTTTAGCCACTGATACTGCATTGAACTATTCCATTCTTCTAAAGAGGCAAAGCAAACTGAGAGGGATGATGAATCAGACAATAACAAAGACAAAAGTAGATAAACCTTCAATACAAGGATACTGCAGAATAACGTTTTACAATTTGATGTAGCATAAACGTTTCTTATTAAAACAAATAAGAGAATTTGAGCAGAATATATATATTACTCCAGAATATGTCTCAAACAACTCAACAAAGTAATTGCCATCGATTACCTAAATGCGGCAGCAGAAAACGAGCACCCGGGACGAGCCTCCTGATGAGCTCAAATAAACCCCAGCTGAGAAAAACCTAGGCTCACAGCAACAGAAAGATAACCTCAACTGAAAGATGTGGCAGCTCCAGCAACAGAAATTGACGAGTTTGTAATGCTCAAAGTTTCAATCCAAGGAAAACCTAAGCTCACAAACACTGAGCCACATAAACTGGACTTGATGATCCTGAGGCCCGAAAGTAGTAACAAAGACAAATGCACATGCTTTTGTTCCATTAGCTGATCCAGTGATATCAGAGGTAATTAGAAGCATGTATGACACCATCGTTAACCAAAGTTTCTCAAATTTTAGATCCAGGTTTCTTGTACTACGTGTTGTTCCTTCCATCAACAGTATATTATTATAAGTTTCTCAAATTTTCTATCCAGGTTTCTCGTACTACGTGTTGTTCCTTCTGACAACAGTATATTATTATACCTAGGACCTCGTTTCGTGAATTCCATGACATAATAATGCAATTACAAAAATGCTACAATCAATTTTGTGTTTTATGACTTGTTCTTCAGACTTCCATGGTTCAGAATTATCAAAAAACAGCTTACTAAAAGCAAAATATTCATAATGTATATTAAACCAATTCCTAAACAACTATATTTCCAAACTCAAGGATTCTATCAAACCATTTTCCACATCAACCAATGTATTCAGCCATAGATTGACAGTGTCATTAGTTCCTCACTTATCACATATATATTGATATACAAAGTTACAAACAATCAGAGGGAGCAACCCTGTACATACAAGCTTTTAGAAACACTAAAAGAAACTAATTACATTTTCCATAACCATATTAGAATTCATGAAAACAAAAACTAAAAAGTTATTACATTAGGAACAACAAATGAGTATAACAATGTCAAAATGTAAATTATATACCATCGTACGAGGCAACCCCACTTCCTTAGCATTCATTTAATACTGGTGCCCTTTTTTCACCATCTACTCATATTTCTGAATCTAATTAAAGCAGCTCAAGTTGTAAAATTCTCCCGAGAAAGGTTATGTGGTAAACTAGGCAAAGAGACTTACAGACTTCAAACATGAAGAAAAGAATAAGTTCATACCATATAAACTTATAAACCACCGAATCAATAGTGCAAAGTTTGAGATACACTAGAAACGAGACTTAATAAGATTAAAAGAATGGATAAAGAATAACTCATACTTAATATTGCAAAATTTTACCTTTTCTATAAAAATACAATTACAGACTCCAGCAAGTTTGTATTAAATTCAATCACACGTCTTGCTAACAGGAAAATAGTAGAATAGGAAGCAAGACTGCGACATTCTTAAAAAAACTGCATCAGCACATTTTGTTAAATGATTAACAGAAATATGCAGAATAAAGCATGCAATGGAAGTATGAAATCACAGCATGTAAAAAGGAAAAACAGTAGCAGATGATCTAAGTTGAAAAAAACAAAAGCCAAGCAAGCACAAATGAAATGCAAGAAGCAACGCATACAACAACATGTACTCACCAAACCAGTTTTTTTTTTCCCCTTTCTTTTTCAAATTCATTGATGAATTACAGCAAACATCACCGTGTGTTTATGCCATGTTCAATATCCAAACCATACATCACCCCAGCATACCTCTCAATTGACCCATCAAAGTAACTGCCCATCAACTTCCTAAATGCGCGAGCAGTAAGCAAGCTATCTGAGCCCGCTTGATGGCAGATGCCGACCCTCTCGACCTCCAACTGCTCGGCAACCTTGTTAAGCCCCCCGTGGAGGCTGTTCGAGAACTTCAACAGGTGCTTAATGTCGTACACAACCGGGAAGAACGTCCTGACGAGCTCAAAGAACCCCTCCCGGGTGTCGGGAAGCCTTCTGCAAGTTAGGAGTTTTAGGAGGTATCCGAAGTCATAAGCACAGTGGAAGGTCACCCAACTAACGGAATCGTTGAGGACGACGCCAGACGACATCAGGAGTTCGGCGAATCGTATCGCGTCGACACCGAATTCCCGATTTCTCACCAAATCAATGCCGGACCTGATGAGGAGGTCGATGGAATCGGGATTGCTGACGTCGCGGTCGACGTCGAACTCCCTGAAGTTGAACTGCCACACGACAGGGTGTCCGCCGGCAGCCGAGGAGGTCGGGAGGTTCCCGTCGGCGTCAGAGAAGGTCAGGCCGAGCTGGATAAGGTGGAGAAGGTCGACGTTGGCGCGGAGGATGTGGTAGTTCTGGTCGGCCACGGTCTTGAAGTCGCCGAGGGGGCGAACGGCGACGCCCGGGAACTCGGTGTCCATGGCGACGAAGGGGAAATCGTCGACGATCTCCCGGATCACGGCGAACTCAGCCTCAAGGTTGTTGGCCCAGACATCGCGGATCTCGACGGTGGAGGCGTCGTCGCCTTTCGACATGGAAGGTCAGGGGTTGAATCGGTGGCGTGATCGCAGAGGAGGGGCATAAGAAACCCTAGATATTGGAAGGGGGAGCGAATCGGAACCCTGTAATGGACCAAATCGACAGAAGGGTGAGGCCGAACGAAAGGGAATCGTGAATCGAATAAGGATCAAGCGGGGAAACCAGGAATAAATTAGGGTTCTCGACGGCGAAACCATTTCCCCCCCCTTTTTTTTCCTTCGTTTGAAATTTTAATTTTAATTTTAATTTTTTTTTTTATCGTGCCCGTTTACTCTGTTCTCGTTTCTCGATTCTCCTCGATTTTTTTTTTGATAAAATATAAGTAATTCAAGTTGGGTCTGACATCGACTGATATTTTAAATATTAGAATTTATCGAAGAAGATTTAAAACCTTTTAATATTTGGTAAGTGGATATGTTGAATCATCATTATATTAATATTTTAAATGTAAAGATTTGTTGAATGAGGTCTTCCACCTTTAACAATATGTTTTTAATATTTGATAAGTGAATATATTACACTAGTCGCATATTTCATATTTTAAAAATAAAGATTTGCTGGATGAAGTTTTGAATCTTTAATATTTGGTAAATGGATTCAGTAACAAAATTTATCAAATAATATTTTAAAATTTTATATATCTAATATATTATTATTGCGTTAATATTTTATATGTAAAATTTATGGAAAACATTTGGCACATTGAATCTTTGATAAGCAAGTGTAATATGATATACTTCGATCGTCTTACCCCTAGTGTGCATGACACCTGCATAGAAAAACTCTATCGAAAGAAGGTAAAATTTATGGACCCGATCACCTTATCACTTAATTTATGGACCCGATAACCCAATCACTGACACTCAAAGATGTTCATGATATTTATTTCAAAATTTCATATAGGAAAACACTCCACTTGCATATAAAGTATACATAAACATGTTTTCCTATATTAAATTTTAAAGTAAATATCATGAGAAATTACAACGCTTCATAAAAATGGCTACAGAATGTAATTCACAATAAGCCCCATGGATAATTCACATTGCTCCTCAAATTTGTCAAACAGCGCCTGTAAGATCTAAAAGTACTATAATTTTTCTTAGCACCAAACATTCCAACCATAGAGTGTTGACTAGAGTCCTAATTAGATTAACTAGAACAACAAACGTTAAGAAGTCCAATAAAACAGCATATCTTCCAGCACTACCAACAACCAGTTGCCTGATGCACTTGAGACTTGAAATAATAGAAAGGGACGGTTCAAAATTAAAATGTGACCAACAAATCCATAAGATGAAGAACTCTAGTAAACATCACTAACCAGGGTAACCAACTCAAACAACACTGATACATACTATTTCTTGAAACAAATAAACATAAACCAAAACCTCAGCTCTTGACCCCAAGAACCATGACCCTACACGATCGCATTTGCTGCACTAGCAATCCTTGGCCACAAGTCGGCACATTCCTTCCCGATGGGTCCAGTAATAGCAGATCCTGCAGCAAGCAAGCCAATTTTCTAAGTCCTCAAGTGATCAAATTCTTGAAACAAAAATCACAAATGTGATAGACCCCGAAAACAATTATAGGCTGAATGAGTGGCATGGTTTAACAATAACCACATGTCTATCGTCTGATGGCATTACTGCTCAGGCCCCAATAAGCAATATGTTTCAAAAAGTGATTAAGATGACACAGCTTCGTTTGTAATTGTCCTTAAGATGTCTCATCTTTCAAAGTGAAAATTTCCCACATTCCATCTGACATACCTTTCATTTCTCCCTTCGGGTTAACAATCACTCCAGCATTATCTGTATCATATGAAAGATAAAGCATTAAATGGCTAAAATATATGAAAAAACCAGTTGAAATGTCAAGAAAAATAAAGAAAAGTTGAAGTTCCTGCTTTGCCACTAAAATAGAGCAGTCATTAGTTGTGTGAGCAACAAAAGCCATTGCTACAGTCGCTGGACCAGGCAAGCAAACAGCAACCAGCCAAGAAAGCAACATCAATCGTCACTTAGGCAAGCAAAAACAGCTGTTTCATCTACTAGCAAGCCAAGCAGCAGCCAGGTATCGTGATCAAATAGGAAAATAATACAAAATAAACAGGAAAACAAATAAAACATAACTTATTTGCTAATTGCCATTGGCTGTTCACAAAACCATAATGGTCATCCACAGTCATTGATCATTCACATGTGCCGTATCATCCTCATCCTCACAAGTAGAGCATTGTGGAGTTTAAAATAAGAATCCAGATATAAATTGATATGATCATGCGATTATGAATAGTGTTAGCACTTTGTTAACCGCTTCTCTTTCTCTTAACACAACAAAACCAGTAAATACAATTTTATTCTACCAACATTAGATGAATTAATTGGCCAGTAAAAGTGATTTAAGTTTTACACACATGCCATGCTCACAGGTCAAGTCAAACTATCTCGAATTCACAGCAAATTCACGTTTGAACAAAATTTTCAGCTAAACCAGCTATGAGGAGTGACCCAAAATCGAATAATGCTTCTATCAGTCCCCAGTAAAGAGACATGATTTCCATATATAATAACCCGTACTCACATGTTATTCACTAATTAACAGCAACGATAAATGTAACATATGACTGGAGAATTAAATTAATATCATGCATTTTGCAAATGGAGATCATCCAACGAACCTTCAAAGTACATGTAGACGCCATCCTTTCGGCGCCACGGCTTGCGCTGGCGGACGATGACGGCGGGCATGACCTTCTTCCGGAGGTCGGGCTTGCCCTTCTTGACGGTGGCCATGACCATGTCCCCGACGCAGGCCGAGGGCAGGCGGTTGAGGCGTCCCTTGATCCCCTTGACGGAAATGATGTAGAGATTCTTCGCCCCCGTGTTGTCCGCACAGTTCACCGTCGCCGCCACCGGCAGACCCAGCGACATCCGGAACTTGTTACCCGCCGTTCCTCCGCGCCCTACAAAAGCCACCGGAGATCATTGAACAATCTGAGATCAATCGATCGATCGACATGGAGATGGGACGGTTACCTCGCTTCGACATCTTGGAAGAACTCGAGCAGCGAGGCGATGCGACCACGGGTTTCGGCAACGGCCGTTGTTTCTCTGGAACTTTATATGGCGTAGTGCAAAAGGAGTTGGTCTAGGGTTTTCCATTGAGCAATAATATTACAGTAATACCCCTGAAGGTGGGGATGGTGGCCGTGTTTTCATTTGATTCATTTATAGTATTTTTTAATAACATTTATAATATGTCTATTGATATACTGAAAATACTATAAATCTATTATATCTCTCTAATTTTCATTGCTCGTAAACTATTATGATATTATATTTTTAAGCTTGTAATTGGTTTAATTGAGGTTTTAAGTCTATTTGAATCATTTATAATATTTTTTAAATATATTTTACAGTATTTTTATCATGGACAAAATATTATAATAAGTTATTTTTTTTATTTCTATTCGAGTGACATTATTCGTAATCTATTATAAATACCTATTTGAATCATATATAAAATAATTTTTAGTATGTTTTGATTCCATTTGACTTATTTATAGTGTTTTTATTACGATAGCTAAAATACTATAATAAACCAAAAATATTGTAATTAATTAAAACACTATTTCGGGTGAAAAAAATATATTTTTTGAAATATGACTTGAATATTTTTTTAATTAAGTGATGCAGTTAAAAAAATAAAAAGATTATACTGTTGGAAAAAAAACTAAAATAATCCTCTTTTCTAGAAAAATTGTCCGTTTGAAAAGGCTAGAGAGAGACTTTGGATGTGGTATAAATCTATCCATACATTGGTCTTATTACAACTTTTTAGAAAAAAAATAACATATGAAATGTTTGACTATAATTTAGATATAATTTTATTTATGAAATAAAAATAGATAATTTTATGAAAAAATGTCTAATAATAAGTTTTTATCATATGACACCCATATTTAGTTTTTACGATCGACATCTTTTCTTATATTTCAATTAAAATATCTTCGATCAAAACATAAAAGATAAAAATTATGTTTTAACTATTTTTTACTTTGATTTCTTTTAAAAAGCTAAATGAATTTTTTTAAAGATGAATCAGACTAAATTGATTCAACTAGACATTAACTATGTCCCTCTCCTATTTATACAGATTAGGAAGGAGAATTTTCCTCGACAGAATAGATGATTTCCCTCAACAGCATAGAGAGATTTCTTCATATAGTTAGAAAAATCTTATCTAATATCATGCCCCCGCAAGATGATGCAAACGAGCCAAATGCTTCATGAATATGTTGCTATTGTCGTGGCTGCGATGACAGAGGAGAAAGTTGCAACAATAGAGAAAGCTATAGAGTAGAGGAAGAAACCACAGTAGAGAAGGAAGCTACAATGATGCTATAGTAGAGGAGAAAACTACAACAGAGGAGGAAGCTGTAGCGCTGTTACAGTGATGCTACGGTAGAGGAAGAAGCTGCAGTAGAGGAGGAAGCTGCAGCGATGTTGTAGTGATGCTACAACAGAGGGGGAAGATACAACGATACTACAGTAGAGGAGAAAACTACAATATAAGTGCAGCATAGGAGAAAGCTGCAGCGATTTGATGGAGAAATTTGATCGATGCAAGCAAGGTCGGTGAAGAAAAAGGCCACATGGAGGAGAAGAGGGAAGGAGCGAGCAAGGGTTAGAGAGGCAAGCTTCGATGGCCGTGGAGCCTAGCTTGTCTCACATGTTCTGATATCATGTTGGAAAGAATAAAAGATAAGAAGAATTATTGAAAAAACATGAATGTATTAACATGCCATCTCCTATTTATACAAATTAAGAGGAAATATTTCCTTCGATAGAATATAGGATTTCCTCATATAGTTAGAAAAATCTTATTTAGTATCACCTAGCTTCCTCTTTCTCTCCCTCGTTGTCCTCCTTCCACTTCACCTCCACACGTCTACCTCCCTCACCACTTCTTTTTTTTCTTATTCTCATCCTTCTCTTTTTCTACTACTATGCTACTCCCTCCCTTATCCTCCACATTTATCTCCTTCTTCGCATATTTTACCTAGATTAATCACTACACTCAAAGTTACACTAATTTACAAAATATATTATAATTATATTTTTATATAAATTTTATAAAATAAAATCATCTTCAATTTATAAAAAAGTAAAAAAAA